TGATTAATTTGAATCCAACTGAATATCAAGCAGTCTGTGGTAAAAATTTAATTTTTTAATTTTTAATTACGATTAAATGAGAGTCAGTGTACTGCAAATTTTAAAATAATAATGATTTCTATTNTTTTTTTTTTTTTTTTTTTTTTTTTTTTTTTTTTTGCATTATTAAAGTTAAGTTTCATATTTTCATTTAAACCGTAATTGAATACTTTATTTTATCTGACCTACATGAGTTAAAAATAAAATCACGCAGTCAGTGGCAAAGATTTAACATTTCATCTTTATATATATATATATATTATGCTTAAATGGATGTTAATTTTTTTATAAATTTTAAAATAATAACGAATTTTTGTTCTCTTAATTTCAAATTCAAATTCCAAATTTTAATTTAAAAAACTTTGCAGGTAATAATTCTTTTTTTTTTTTTAACGATTTGTTAAATGAGCTTAAATTTATATCCGTTTCAGCTGTCATAAGTATAATGAAATATAATTCATACATAATGCGAACTAATACGCATATATTTTTGCAAAAATATAAATATAGAGATTTTGAGGCATTATAACGCCACAAATAGTTACAAAACGCGTTCTTAAAGAAAAGCAAAACGATTCGCAAGAAGGCAATGAAACGTTTCTCTCTACTCTGATACCTAATGGACATCTTGGAAATTAGTAAGATATCTATTTAGAAACAATATTAAGGATTAGTTCTTCGGGAAAAAAATCCATCTTTGAAAATTGGCCCTTATTTCTTTATAGTCCTGATCCATATTTAAGTTAATCGCATTAACAAATGCTTATTTTGAATTCAACTAAAAATTTTAAAAAGTGCGAAATGCACCCTAAAATATAGTTTAAAAATAAAAATGTAAATAAATTTAAGTTGAAAATCACATTTTTATACAAAAAGTATGAATCTTAATTTAAAATAATTGCATTTTAAATTTGAAATTACATTATATTATAGGTTATTATCCTCGCTTTGTGCGTCGCTGCGGCGATGGCTTTGCCAAATGGCCATTCTTTAGTTATTCATCACCATCCATCTCACCATGGCTATGGTCATGGACATGGTGGGCACGGAGTCAGCACAAGATATGATGTCAGACACCATGGTTACGCTCACCCTCATGGACTTAAATATGGCCACGGTATCGGTTATGGACATGGACACCACGGGCACGGACTGGATCATGGTTTGGGTCATGCTCATGGATATGGACTCTCACATGGATATGGACATGATTTAGGATTAGCTCATGGATACGGCTTAGGCCATGGATTAGGCTTGGGTCACGGACATGGATATGGATATCATTAAAGGATTTGAGGTATGGCTATGGGTAGTGGTGCTCGGAATATTAATTTCTTTAAGACTACTCTAATCATAGGATTGATTTGCAAAATGACTATAGTCTTACTGGAATGAAAATCAAGGTGATTTTTTTTTTTTTGACTGGAGGTAATTTTAATGAAATTATATTTATTTGCATTAAAAAAAATCGATATTGGAATATTGACTCCGTATGATAAAAATAATAAATAAATGATTGTATGATTGAGTTCTCGATAAAACGTAAAGAGCTCATAAATTAAAAAAAACAATTTCGCTTTCACTTTTTTTTAATTTTATATATTAATTGCACCACATTTCATACTTTACTTCTCTTTCAAAAAGAGTAAATAAATAAAAATGAATAAATAAGTAAATAAATAAAAATAAATAAATCAATAAATAAATAAAAATAAGTAAATAAATAAATAAAAATAAATAAATAAATAAAAATAAATAAATAGAAACATATAAATAACAAGAATAAATGTTGGATTCAAAACCAGCTTAAAATTTTTTTCGCTTCCAAAATTTTCATCTAATTAATGATGAATCATAAAATAATTAAATAAAGCGGTACACTTACTTCATTTTCAATTTACATAATCACATTTCTTTGAAAATATGAAGTCATAACATTAAAAAANAAAAAAAAAAAAAAAAATTGACATATTTTGCGTAGATACATGTACGTATACACAAAACATAGTGCAGAGTAAAACTATTCATTCGATTCTTGAAAATTTGATTTTTAAAATGTCTAAAAAAAAAAGAAAAATTACATTTACTGATACAGTAAAAAAAAAAAAAAAAGGAAGAAAGGATTAAGAATAAGAGGTTTATAATAATTGTGATAGATGGCAGCACTATTATCTATCACATTATTTATTTAGTTTAATTTTGTTTACTTTATTTAAAATTTTTCTCACTCGGATATCTAATCTATCTTATAAATTTATATATATATATATATACCTTTTTTATAATAATTTTGATTTCATATTAAAAAGATTATACTTTTGTAGATTTTTGTAGGCTTCCAATTTACACATTAAGAGAAGATAATAATTAATAATGAATGAATAAATAAGTAAACAAAAGGAAATATGTAAGCAAGAAAATACCTTGAGAAGAAAGAACTTCTTGAAACGTAAAATAAAGGCTTCTAAAGTTTACTTAGAAAAACATTTTTAAATCCTAAAAATTTCTCTAAATTTACACTATTTCAAAAAAAAACTTTAGAATTCTAAAATTCGGTGAAAACAAACTTACGAATTAAAAGCTTATAACTCGAAAAAAATTTTTTTTAGACATTTTAAAATATGTATTATTATTATTATCATTTATTTTGAATGGCGTGAATAAGATATTTATATTTAATTTTATTCGTTTTTAATCATTTAAAAAATAGAGTCTGCAGATTTTTTTAAATGTATTTCATTAATACTAAGTTAATATTACAATGATTTATTTTCGTAAGTATAATAAATAATATAAATATATTTATTTTCCAATTGCAATACCTTTTATAAAATTAATTACATTATTTTGATATAAGTTATTTTAATTATTTTCTTTCAGTTTAGTTATTTTCAATGAAATTAATATAAACTAAATAACAACTAAATGTGAAATACAGAAATAAGAGTCCTCATCACTGTTTTTTTTGAATAAAAAAATTATAAATCGACTATTTATTAAATGGTTTATTGTGCTTAATTTATCTTATATTTCTGTCCAATAATCTTACTCAACTAATTATTAAGTTGACTTTATTTATTGTTTAGAAGTGTGAAATATTCTTAAATCGTATAGAATTAATTTTACGTGAGTTTTCTAATAAAGCTAAACTTTTGCAATTTTTAAGACAATTGAAAACCAAGGGGAAAAAGTTTTTTTTTAGATTTTTTTATTGCTACACTCCATGCGGGGAAACGCTTGGAGTGTAGCTATTTAAATATACAAACACTTTTTGTGTTTTCATATTTTTAAACAAAAATGATAAAAGCAAATTTAATAATAAATATTGAAAACGTTATTGCTCTGTTTAATTCTGTATAGTGGATAATATTAGTTTGAAACTTCGATTTTGTTATTGTATAATCGAAACAAAAAATTTAAGTATCTATATTATGAATTTTTAAACCGATTATTAAAAATAACTAACTTACTGATTGAGACCAANCACGAATTCTCGGACATGGGCCCAGAGCCCTACCAACCAGGCAATCCCGGCCCTAAGATATATATATATAGTTTAAAATCATTCTCAAAATTCTTGCAACAACCCAGATCCATTAATCTTAATCTCATTTTATAATTCCCCTTCGGACAATGAAAATCAATTACTTAAAGATCTACTTTTTCACACCTCAAAATACTCTAACAATTCTACTCTACTAATTTGCGGGGACTTTAATGCACATCACGACTTCTGGGGTTACGCTAACACTGATGCCAGGGGCGATGTACTGTTTGAACTTATTATTTCCAACAATCTAAAATTATTAAACACCCAAAACGCTCCACCAACTTTTGTTACTACTCGATCTTCCTCCTTTCCAGATTTAACGCTAACAAATAGTCAGGAGCTCCTCAACTATTCGAATTGGGAAGTTTTAGACGCAGAAAGAAACTCTGATCATAAATACATCAAAATCCAACTAAACAATTCTTTTTCTTTCTCATCCTTTATTAGATTTAAAACAAAATACGGTAATCATGACAAATTGAAGAAAAACTTTTCAAAATTTCATAATGAATTAAATAGTAATTTAGACAATATAGACACCCCATTACAACTAAACGATTTCACAGACGATTTAATCGATAAAATTTTTAATTCTTGTAAACTTTCGTATAAAACAATTCGTATTTAACAAGCAATCAAATCCCACATGGTGGAATAGTAAATTGTTGATACTCCAAAAAGAACTGCTAGCGACTAGGAAAAGATATCAACGTTCAAAAATAGAAGACGAAATTACCAAATGCAAAACTATCTATAAACTTAAAAGAGCCCATTTTAAAAAAGAAATTCTCTAGGCTAAATATAATAGTTGGAAATTTTTATGTGAAAGCACCAACAATATATTTCGAAAGCACTATAAAACGTCTTTTAAGACAAATCCTCATCCCTCTATATAACAGATATATTTAACACCAACTCACCTTTAGAAGAAGCGTTACATATTTTAGAGAATCTTTTCCCAGACAGTAACATAATCCCAATAGACAATTTCCATTACCTAAATTCTAATCTTGACCCACCTTTTACCTACAATGAATTAGATAATTTAATTAAAACTCTAAATAATAATAAAGCCCCTGGCATCGACGGTATTGATAGCATAATAGTCAAAATACTTTTTCTATTTTTTGGTAATCTAATTCTAAAATTTTTCAACAAATGCCTCTTACTCAAATGCTTTCCAGATCATTTTAAAAAAGGGCAAGTCTTGCTATTTCTGAAAACTAATAAAAATCCGAAACTATTATCATCATACAGACCAATTACACTACTCCCTTGTCTAGGCAAATTTCTAGAAAAACTTATTACCAAGAGAATAAACTATTATATAGAAAAATATAAAATTTTATCAGACAAACAATTCGGTTTTCGTTGCGGCAAATCTATAAATCATGCACTTCAAAATTTTCTAGATAATCTGAAACATCTCAAAAACAACTTTAAACATGTCGCAGCCACTTCCCTTAATATTAAAAGCGCTTTAAATAATATACAATATAATTTAATTTATGAAGAAATTTCAACTTCAAATCTCCCTAAAAATTTATGTCACATGATAGAAGATATCAACAGAAATAGAATTGCTATTCTATCAACAAATCAAGGATTCAAAACAAAACATATACTCAATGGTTGCCCGCAGGGTTCGTGCATAGGTCCGACGCCTTGGAATTTTTTAATCAATAGCTTGCTCAATACAGATATGAACAATCAAATTATACAAGCATTTGCCGACGATATTATTCTATTAACGTTTGGAAATTCAAGAAGAGATTTAGAAATTAATACTAACAACACACTCAATATTATTCAAAATTGGCTAACAAATAATAATCTTAATTTATCAATAGACAAATCTGTTTTCATCCATTTCTCCAACTCAAGCAGGGGTCCGATCTTCAAAATAAACAACCAGAAAATCTCACAAAAGAACCATTTCAGATATTTGGGGGTAATATTAGATAGGACTCTTAACTGGGGTCCACATGTTAAAGTCCTGAAAGAGAAATCAAACCAACTACTCACTTCTCTTTTTAAAATTAATACAAAATCTTGGGGCATAAGCCAGAGAGCTCGTAAACTCATATATAAAACTGTAATAATCCCTTCCTTAGCCCAAGGTCCATGTGCATGAGCCCAAAAAATCTCGCCTAGAATCTCAAGAGCTTTAGACTCAATCCAGAGGAAATTTCTTCTGAATATCACAAGAGCCTATCATTCCACTCCTACAGCTGCTCTACAAGTCTCAGCTGGATTCTCACCTCTCTCAGAACAGATTGCGTCGTTGTCGTGTTCAATAATCATAACTCAACTTAAAAAAGACATTTCCTATAACAATATAAATTTTCAATACAGTACTTACGAGGAAAAACAAAACAATAACGATTTTTCACCCTTCTCAGTCATCACTAACTTAATCAGCTTAGCAGAAAATAAAAACTATAATCACTTAGATCCATACAATTTTTTCACAGACTGTTCGAAAACAAATACAGGAACTGGTTTGGCATTCTTCAACATAAATCATTCTAATCATTACATAATTCATAATATCAACTCAGTCTTCCAAGCTGAACAACTTGCTATTTTAGAATGCATTAGATTCATCAAATCACAGACTTCATTTAAGGCATCTAAAAAATATACAATCTGGTCGGATTCTAAAGCAGTATTATACTCTATAATCAACCCAGGCACGAAAAATTCACTCTCGGCTAAAATACAAAAATTACTCCTTAATACAAATATATTTATCTCATGGATTAAAGCACATGATGACAGAACAGGTAATGAAAATGCAGATGCCCTAGCTAAATTATCGACAACTAAACAACAAAATTACTCATATCCCTTCCCGATCTCACATCTTAAGAATCAANTTTCCTTTAAAGATTTTATAAAATATTTATGCAACGCATTTTAAGACGAACTTTATATCAAATTAACATAAAACCTCAAAAATCAGCCGAGACTATGTAATCTCAATTTTTATAAGTTACACGCAATATTACTTTTATGAGCATAGAGCAGTTGTTTTGTTAATTTTTTCATAATATTTCATTTGATCCGTGAAGGCTCAGGGATTACATCAATCGCCTTCCAATGAGGTCAATCGGGTTCGAATCTCGGTGATGGCTGGTCGATACGAATTCCGCATCAGGCTTGCGCTGACCACAGTGCTAGCGTAAAATATCCTCAGACGGATCATGGGTTAGAGTCCCCTTGCCGTATGTTGTAAATATTGTGCATATCTTTTCTATTCAATTTTTTATTTATTATTATAACATTTTAATTACTTTATTTTATTATTTAATACCTGGGAATCAAAATTTTAATGGAGAACTAAAAAAAAAATTTTTTTTTATTAACTTTTTTTTTTCTTTTCCCTTTATATTAATTTACTTTTCAAAATTCATTTATTGTCACTTTCTATGTCATATATACGTAAAAAAAAATTATTATTTAAACTATAATTAATATTTCTGTATAATTGTAAACAAATTAATATTTCTGTATATTTGTAAACAAAATTTTAACCTCCTTTCTTTTGAAACTTTAAATAATTGATTGAAGTTAGCTGGAAGTAGTGGCCAGACGCGGATTATACGGGTAAGGGTTTTACTAACCTATGTACAGTATCCGCGTCTGGAAGGACAGAAAGAAAGTTTAAAATCATCGTTTTGCTTCAATTATAAGGCACATAAACTGTAACTTTTTGATTTTCATAGCATAACTTTTTCTGCTGAAGCACAAGTTTATTAACTTTCTGCTACTCTTTCAATTGAAACGAGTAAATATCGACACGAAATTCTCAAATTTACAGGTTTGAGAAAGGGCCTCCCTGATTGAGTGGTCCCGTCATTTCGGTTTGCTTGGACGTGGAGGGTTCGAATTCCGTCATAAACCTGGATGATATCCGTTCGATATCAATCCTGTATCTTTATGATATCTTTCTCTTACTTGTACTATCTGTTCTTCAAGTTGACATGCTCTTATAAGTCGTACTTTGTGATGAGCATACAAGCCTGGATATGCATTCAAATAAATAAATAAATACAGTGCTTAATTCAAAAGAAAGAGCAGGGCACAACAAGTTACTAATTAAAATCGTATAGTAAGAATGAAAGATACATTCTGGATTAAAGTGGGAACCCAACCCACGAACTTTACGCTTTAGAATGTTTAGCGGATTGACAATACTCAGTGGCCATGAAGACCTCAACCATTTGTTCATAGTACATGCATATTATTTATTTGGTTTATTGGATTTACATACATTTGCAGGCATGCGTGATCAATTCAGACTTATAAACCTTTGTCAAATAGAAGGACAGCAAGGAGATACATCCAGTGTAACAGCGGGATTCAAACCCGCTACCTCCACGCTTTGCACAGCTTTTGGCGAGTGATACCGCTCTGCAAGGGCGGCCCCAGTTCATACATAATCAGGGTTATGAGCTTATATATACAAAGAAATGCCTTGTAAATTCTTGTAAGGTTCAGTCCGAAAATACAACCAGGTTACGGCTGGATTCGAACCCACCATCTCTATCCTTCACAACGTTTGGTGGAAGGAAAATACCATTAGGACAAAGACACTCTATCCAAATGAAATTTCACTTATTAAGCAAAAACCAGCAACCGGAAGTAATTTCACGCACAGATTTTTTTTAAACCTATATAAGAGTGCGATATTTAATTTTTCGTCGCCTACGAGTCAATTTTTTTAAGGCCTCAGTTGTCCAGTACCATTACAACGAACGAGTCGATTTTTTCGGTGTTACAAAGATAAATAATGTGTCCATGATTTGAAGTTTGTGTGCCCTGCAATTGTGAAGTTAGATTCGATCAGGTAAGTTCACTTTCTTTATTTTAATGTATGAATAATTGCGCCTAGTAATTTTCAAATTAACCAGACGGCGTTTGGGTTATGAAATTTTGCTTGATTATACTTATAGAGTGGTTTAATGTATTCTAGTTTAGATTTTTGTAGCAGTTCAACTAGTGTAAAATAAGTAGTCAATAAAAAGTAACACGTAGCACTTGTTGTTCTAGGTTTCCCAATGTAAACGCACCTAAACGTTTTGTTGCGCTTGAAATATTTAATCCTTTATGTTCATATGTGTATCGTATTTCAGAATATAATAATATGAAGTGGCTATAATACTTAATTTCAGAATCCTTGAATGCGTTTGAGATACGTTATCAATTTACTGAATTTTATGTTACAATTTTATAAGTTTTTCAAATTTTCGCATTCTGTAATTTATACGAAAATTTTATTTTGCAAAATTTCAAAAGTAAATTTATACCAATTTCTTATTTTCGAAATTTTGCTTTCTTTTATAGTATGGTCAAACTAGTTATTTAAAAATGTTTTAAGAGCTGTTTATTTGGAACAATAGATTATAATATTAGGATTTTAATATTTTCCATAACTGAGTATTTTTAGTCTTATTTTATTTCCGTTCTTAGATGCTTTTTAATGAAAGGAAATTCATTGAAATTTAAAAAGATTTTCTCTTGCTGCTATGATAGCAGTATAGTTAGAAATATTTTTTTTCTAAATCTAATTTTCTTTAGGATTGGTGACCGGCAACCACTAGTTTCGCATACAGCGCATACGGAGCAACGAAATTAGTTTTTTTTTTCAACAAGTCGATAAGATTCACAATTTATCGACCACTCTTGTTTGTTTTAATTTTGTTTATGAGAAAGTAGGTAATGTCATTGTTTACTAGTCTACTTCACATTAAGGGTTTTAACACCATTTCTACAAAGTCTTCAAGACTCGTTTCAAATTTTTATCTTCAAGTTATTTTTAAAGTTTAATTATTTATCAAACTGTTCTACTTTACGTACAATTAAGTTTGCAGGCTCCTAGCCAATCCTGGATATTAAAATGTGAGTATGGTATACAAATTTTAACCACTCTGTGTATTTTGATACCTTAATGGATTTTATAAGTGTATAGTTTGAAATTAATTTTTAATATAAATGAACAGGTTTGCTACTTAGTATTGATTATAAACACAAAACAGAATCTGGGGTTTAGTCTCTATGAAAAAAACATAGAAATTATGACACAACTTTAAAAACCTCCTAAAACCCAGTCCCACTATATTGAAAAACTTTAGGAATAGTTTTATTACTGAAAATTTTAGGATTTTGATTTCTTTGTATGCCTGTACAAAGCATTTATTTATGTAAACTTGTTTTTGTATTTACTTTCGTTGGTTGGAAATCTTAATTAAACTTTTTGGCAATAATTGTGGGGGTAATGCTGGAAGAACTAAGTTTTTTTTAAAAACTTTATTGAAATTCAATATTAGTGCAAATTTTTATTTAGTTTTTTTTCAAATGTTCGAAAAGTTCTGATTTTTGTATTTTTATTCTAATTACGTAGATTTAGAAAACTCAAACTTCTGAACAGTTCAAAATGTTTCTCTTTTTTTAAGACGTTTTTAAGTATTTTCAATTTTTTCAAGTAATATCAAAATCTCTTACAGATATTCATTCAGATTACGTGGAAAATATTTGGTTTAATGGAGAATATATCTGTAGATGCGACTACAATAATGATGGTGGAAACGTTTGCTAAATGTATGGAAAGACCTACTGTATTTGGCGATGCGACTACAATAATGATGGTGGAATAGTTTGCCTAAATGCATGGAAAGACCTACTCTATTTGGAGATGCGACTACAATAATTACTGGAAATATTCGACTAGATGTGTTGGTTTATCTGGAGACGAGACAATGAAAATATTTGGCTGGATATGCATCTGAAGTGTATATGAAGAAAAGGGTGAGTTTTTTCCTACATAAATTATATTTTAACCCTGGATACCTTTACATTCTTATGATAAAATTTCCTCAGTTTGAGGAATTAGGGTTGTTACTATAACACTTAATAATCTTCAGGTTTCAAACGTTAAATATAGGGTAGTTTAAAATTAATATAAGCTATTACAAACGATTATAACTATTTAATAAAAAAGTATAGATAAAATTTACGCAAAATCTAGGAGGAATTTCAACATTTTGTATAAATGCATCAGATGGCATCAGAAATGCATAAATGCATCAGAATGCATAAGCAAGTAGTGAATCTTCAAACTTATTTAATTTAATAATTGCAATATGTTTTTAAAACTGATTTCTTTGTACAATTTTTTTTTCTGATTCAGTACAATCTTATTTTGAGTATTGTTTTTATCATATACTTTAGTTTTTTGCTTCAGGAACTAATGTAATTTGCTTCAATTGCGTAAAGTAAAAACTGCATAATTCGGTCTGGTGACTGTGAACTCATAATAAATTATTTAAAATATTTGGGGCGTAATTCTTAATTTTTAGAGGTTCCACAGCGTCTTAAAATTTTTTTTCAAAAACCTAAAATTTTGCAAAACTGAGTTGTCATACATTTTTTCAAAAATCTGTAATTTTAGTTTTTCCAACTCCTAAGAATAAAAGAATTTTCCACATCGGTAACTTTTAAATTTTAAGCAAAAGATTAAAATTGAAATGAACGAATTTTCTTAATGTTATTTGACTTTTTAAAACTGATAAGTACTAGTCTATTACCTGAAAATACTTTTATAAAAATTCTGCATTATTGGCCAATAAATATTTCAGTTCATTAAATTTAATTGTTGTTGGATATTACACAGCTTCTATTACTCTAAATAGTATGAAAAATCTCGTATAAATTACATTTATATGAAGTTTCATTTTAATTATTTAGGAGGCATAAGTGCTAATAGTCACATCTAGAACTTAATTATTGGTACTAAATTTAAAATTATTTGAAGAAATCCTTGAGCAAAATTTTCCATTTTCAAAATCCTCTTTATCTAGCTTATAAACATTCACAAATTCCATACAATTAAAATAAATTCCAAAGTTCAAACAATTAATCGGCTTTTTTCTTTAGTTTCAAACACTGGTAAATTTTAGTCTCAACCCAAACTTTAAAATATTTATGCTCAGTTGAGAAGTCTTTAATTTGACAAATTGTTTAAGTTTCTAAGAACTGGCAGCAAAGTTTGCTTCCTTTACATCATGTTTAAATTATTAGAATTTTAAAAGTTTTTAAATAGGTTTAAAGTTACTCTTTTTTCGGATTGACTTGTAAAATTGGCTATTGATAAATTTACTTGTGTATTAGTTTATACCAAAATAATGGATTCTAGTGTTTGTATATTAAATGGTTAGTCAAAAATGATTTAAATTCCGTTAGGGTGGTTAACGTTAAGTGAGTAATTCACTTATTCAATTTCCATAATTTGTTGATTAATTGGTTAGTAAATAGTTTCTTAACGTGTCAGAAAGGTTTTTGGAAATTAAAACTACGCTAGTTTTGAAAGGGTTGTTCAGCACCTATACATACATTTTTAAATTTATAAAGTTTTATGCTCTCATATTTGTTTCTTCGATATTTTCAAAATATATTGACCATTGAAAAATTTATAACATTTATTATATAAAGAGACTCTGTCCATTTGAAATTTTACTAATTAAGCAAAACCCAGTAGCCGGAAGTAATTTCCCGAAGTTTTTTTTAAACCTATATAAGAGTGCATTATTTACTTTTTCATCGCCCTCTTGTCTATTTTTCGGTGTTACAAACATAACTAATTAATTTGTCTATGAGTTGAAGTTTGTGGGCCCTGAAATTGTGAAGTTTGATTCTATCAAGTAAGTTTACTTATTTTAATGAATCAATAATTGCGCCTTGTAATTTTTAAATTAACCAGACGGAGTTTGTATTACCAAATTTTGCTTGCTTATACTTATAAAGTGGTTTAATATATTCCCGTTTAGTTTTCTAATAGTTCAAGTGTAAAATAAGTAGTCAATAAATAGTTACACGTAGCACGTTACTGTTATTAGTTTTCCAAGGTAAACTCACATAAACGCTTTGTTGTGCTTGAAATATTTGATCCTAATATTAATTTCTAGCGTTGAAATGTGCATCGTATTTAAGGATTTAATAATATGAAGTAGCTATAATACTTAATTTTTAGAATCCTTGAAAGCGTTTGAGATAAGTTATCAATTTACTGAATTTTTATGTTAGTTTTATAATTTTTTTTAAAATTTTATCATTCCATACGAAAATGTTTTTGCAAAAATTGTAAAGAGAAAATCTATGTTAATTTCTTATTTTCTAACTTTTGATTTTTTTTAAACGTAAGGTTAGATAATTTATTTGCAAAATATTTTTTTCTTAAAAAACTGTTTATATCCTAATATTTTAATCTATTACTCCGAATCAGTATTTTATATAAATTTTTAGTCTTATTTTATTTACTTCAATACCTTTTTTTATGAAAGGAAAATTCCTTTAACTTTTTAAAAAATTTTCTCTTGTTGCTGTGATCGCAGTATAGTTGGAAAATAGTTTTCCTAAATCTAAGTTTTTGTAGTATTAATAACCAGCAACCATTAGTTTCGTATGCAGCACATACGGACCTTCTAAATGCAATAGTCATTTTTTTGCTAGGAATCTGTTTTACAATTTATCCACCACTCTTGGTAGTTTCATTTTGTTTGATAATGTAGGTAATGTCATTGTTTACTACTTCTCATTTAGTGTTTCAACATTTTTTTGCCAAGCATTTCAGACTCATTTCAAATTTTTAAATCAAAGCTTTTTTTTTTCATGTTTAATTATTTCTCTATTTTCAAGTTTAATTATTAAACTGTATTACTTTTCGTACAATAATTAAGTTTGCCAGGCTCTTCGTAGGTCGGGAATTTTAGTTACAATGAAAGACTTTAAGAAAACAATTTTATGCCATGCAAGTCGAGCGCATTTTGTATTTGTGACCAAAATACAGGGAAATACACAATAAAAAAGAATTATCCTACTCTATCCAAAGCGTGCTACTTTTTTTATAATTAAAAATTAAAGGCAATTTAAGCTTCATTAATCGAATTCCTAGAAATATTTTATCTCCCTTATGACTTTCTATATCTCATTTCTGCCATTATTTTGAACTCTGGTTATTTGCCTATTTTACGTCGTGTTTCGTTTTTAAATTCAGGTAATTGCAGCGTTCAGTTCCAAAAAGGTTAATAATAACTTCGTGCTTCGTATTGATGTATAAAAACATATTTTACAAATTATCAAGTTTCGCAGTGAACTGATCGTCAAGACACTGTTTCCAATAGAACAAAAAAAGTCCTCGTCAAACTGTTCTACCGAGAAGTGCAAGACTTCGCACTGGTCGTCTGGCTACCGAAGCAGAGCCATCCAAAAATTGGAGATTGCATGTCTTTGGATCCTAATCGGGTATGTTCCCCAGACCGTCGCCAATAGCCAATTGTGCAGCTCTAGTGCGACGCAAGCCAACAATAAGAAACAATTTGGAAAAAAAATTTTGGCAATAATTGTGGTGGTAATGCTAGGACTTCTTTAAAAAAATATATATATAATATCAGTGCAAATTTTTATTTAGTTTTTCAAATGTTTGAAAAGTTCTGCTTTTTGTATTTTTATACTAATTACATAGATTTAGAAGACTCGAACTTTTGACCAGTTAAAAATGTTGATCTCTCTTTAAGACGTTTTTAAGCATTTTTAATTAGTTTTTTAAAGTAATATCACAATCTCTTACAGATTTCCATCCAGGTTACATGGAAAATGGATGTGGTTTTATGGAGAATATATCTGGAGATGCGACTACAATAATGATGGTGGAAATATTCGGCTAGATGTTTGAGTTTATCTGGAGACGAGACAATGAAAATATTTGGCTGGAAATGCATCTAAAGTGCTTTTAAAGAAAAGGGTGAGTTTTTTTCCTTCATAACTTATATTTTAACCTTGGATACCTTTTTACGTTCTTATGAAATATTTACCCCGACCTGCCCCAATTTAGGGCAAACGGGTAAATGTTTATTAAAATCAAGAAAACAGAAAAGTACATAAAATACAAAAAGTAACATTACAGAGTAACATTATGTAAACATTAGTCTGATGGCAACAGCAGTAAAATAATTAAAATGCTCCGAGTGTCCCGCCTTATAGTGCCGAAGCCGACGGGGCTTCCCTTATAGTGAGTCAAAGACACAAATAAAAAAATTTTACAACACATCGCAGGAAAGTACAGTATGACATACAATGCATCATGTGCAGGCAGTACATAGGATTAAAACGAGTAATAATACGGAGTAAGTTGGGTCGCTNCGTTGGCATGTTAAATTTCACAGAAACGAAGAAACTAGGTTTCTTAACAAAGAAAAGTACTTTAAACCCATATAAATTTTTGACGAAAATAGTTCGCAAAAAATAACAACTAATATTTTAGTTCACGGGCCACAAAAAAAAACGCTTGGCGGGCCGCCAGTTGGTAACCACTGATCTACATTCTATGTTAATCTTATAGATAAGTAATTTTTGATTAGTTAGAGCTGTTTATAATCGCTATATTCATTTTAAATTATAATTTATCTAAATTTTAACCAATCTGGACTGACTTGTTTGACAAAAAATAAATATAAAAATAGAGTAGTGAGTCTACTTTTTAAGCCTCTTCAGATCTAACACGAGGTATACCGAATATTAACTTCAAATTTATTTAACTTAAAGATTGCTATGTTTTTAAACCTTTCCTTATCTAATTTTCTGATGCAGTGGAATCTTATTTTGAGTATTTTAATTTTGAAGTTTTCTGTTTTGGGGAAAGTAAGGCAATTTGCTTCAATTGCGTAAAGTAAAAACTGCACAATTCGTTCTGGTGACTGTTTACTCATAATAAATTCTATAAAATATTTTTAAGGGCGTAATTCGTAATTTTTAGAGGTTCCACAACGTCCTAAAATTTGTTTCGAAAACCTACAATTTTGCAAAACTGATCTGCCATATACTTATTTTCAAATAAAGGTTATCTTTTTTTTTTAAACTCCTAAAAATAAAAAAAAATTATGAAAGTCAGCTGCCTTTAAACTTTAAGTATGATTAAAATTAAAATGACAAATTTTCTTAACGCTATTTAACTTTTTGAAACTGAGTATTATCTGAAAATACTTTTATAAATTATTGGCCCATAAATATGAGATCGTTAAATTTAATTGTTTGTGAATATTACATAGATTCTATTACTCCAAATAGAGTGTAGAAACTCGTATAAATTAAATTTATAAAGTTTCATCTTGATAATTTAGGAGGCATAAAAATAAGGTGCTGATAGTCGCATGTAGAACTTAGTTATTCGATCTTAATTTAAAATTATTTGAAGGAATCTTTTTGAAAATTTTTAAAAATCCTCTATCTAGCTTATAAACATTCATAAATTTAAACTCCAAACAATTAATCTGCATTCTCTTTTAATTTGCAAGTACTGGTAAATTTTAGTCCCAACCCAAATTTTAAAATATTTTTGCTAAGTTGAGAAGTCCATAATTTGACTAATTGTTCAACCTTCTATGAACTGGCAGCATAGTTTATTTCTTTTTTATTATGTCTAAATTATTAGAATTTTAAATTTTTTAAGAATAGGTTTAAAGTTTTTTTTTCAGTTAGGCTTTTAAAATTGCTATTGATTGACTTGTGTATTAGTTTATACGAAAATAATGATTTCTATGTTTGTATATTAAATGGTTAGCAATTAAAATTGGTTAGTAATTATTTAAACACAGTTTGGGTGATTATTGAATCACAAACGTTGAATAATTCACTTATTCAATTTTAAGATTTGTTTATTAATTGGTCAGGAAATAGTTTTTAACGTGCCCGAAAGGTTTTTGGAAATTGAAACTAAATTAGTTTCGAAAGGGTGATTCCACAGTTAGACGTTCTTTTAAAGTAGTTATGTTGATAAAATTATGTGTTCATATTTGGTTCTGCGATATTCTCAAAATATTGACCATTGACAAATATATATAAAATTTATTATGTAAGAGAATATTATATTGAAATATTAAATATTTACGAAATGTTCACACGAATGCTTCACCTTGAGGATAAGAATCTAGTTAAGGTAAACAAATAACAAAACTCATTTTGAATTAAATAGTTTCTATTGAATATGCTTAAGACTCCCACATTTAGAAGTTCATGAAAAATTTTAAAGCTTATTTTAATTTTATATTGTATAACCGTCATTGAACAGCAGACCCAATTTTTGGGTTTACTACTAGTGATGTTCAACTACGCAGCCTTTTAATTTTG